GGTGGATAAGCCTGCCACAGAAGCCCTGCTCAGACACCCCCCTCATGCCATCCTAATTTGGCTCTGGCATGAAGAGTTTGTTCATGACCTTCGTGGTGCTTGTCCCAGGACCTCAGAGATTCCTCCTTCTCTAGAACATGGGATTGGCCCAAGAGGCCTGTGGATAACTGTCCCTGAACCTGAGAATTCAGAACATAGGCACAGGGCCACAGCCCACGCTGCAGAGAGTGGGTGGTGGTCAAGCCCCCTGAGCTTCTCATGTTCCCTCTGGCATCCGGGTCACTCTGCTACCCAAACAGAAAAAATGGTCTTAGGAAAAAAACATGCTAAAAATATAATAAGATAAATAAATACAATCAAGTTTCTAGGTCTAGCAAATTGTATGCCAAGAGAGCCAGAACGGAAGATGTAACTCTGACAGTACAAGGAACTGCCAGAGGCCAGGAGCCAGGAGAAAAGAAAACTACTGCAGGCCCACTTTTCCAGAAAAGGTGAGTCCAGCATAACAGACTAGTTAGCACAACACTGATTGCCAAGCACTTCTGGACAGACTATCCAGCAGTGATCTGAGAGTGCTCAAAAAAGGACCTGGTGACTAGAAATGCCAAGGAAGGTCACTGGGAACGAAACCACTACTTGCCTTTCTCCTTTACCAATGGGGCAATGGCACCCCATCCAGATGCGCCTTCCTGAGTTTCTGTAAGACCTGGGAGTTTATCTTCATATCTTTTGGGCTACACTGGAAAACCGTGGATTCACAGTACAATACTTTAATAACACAGGTGATCACCACAGAGCACTTACTATGCGCCAGGTGCTGTTACAAGCACTTTGCATGTATTAGAACTCAATCCCCAAAACAAGCCTAAGGGATGCCTGGGTGGCTAAGCAGTTGAGTGTCTGCCTTTGGCTCAGAGCCTGATCCCGGATTCCTGGGATGGAGTCCCACATCCAGCTCCCTGCATGGAGTCTGCTTCTCCCTCTGTGTCTCTGCCTCTCTCTCTCTCTCTCTCTCTCTCTCTCTCTCTGTGTGTGTGTGTGTGTCTCATGAATAAATAAATAAAATCTTTTAAAAAAAATTGGAGTACCTCTCAACTTGGCACTTACCCATCTGCACAGAAAGCATGTTTCCAGTTCTGGTCTCTGCACTTTAGGAGGGACAATGACAACTACAGTGCATTCCAGTAAAGGTGGCGTGGGTGTGGATCACACCTGAGAAGCTAGGATCCCTGTGTGCCAATAACTGCAGGGGAAGTCCAAAGAAGCCCTAAAGACACAATGTAGGGGATCAGCTGTGAAAATCACAGAGATGTTTTAGTAAAAGCCCTTTGTATTTTGTAAACAAAATACAAAACAAAACAAAAACATACTGGAGCTGATTCGGCAAAATTAGGACCTTAAGGACATAGGTTCTATTTAGGATGGCAGCCTCGGGGGCTGGAGGAACCAGGGCAGTCTGACTTTTTTTTTCTTTTCTTTTCTTTTCTTTTCTTTTTTTTTTTTTTTGCCTTGAGTTTTAATTGAAAACATTGAAACAACTTAACCACTCATAATAAATTATAAAACTTTGACAGTTAAATTGTACTATCATTTATTTGTCACTGTTTTGTAGACCTGAAAGAAGCTTTGCATACTTGTGCCTTCTGTTTTCATTTCAGACGAAGATTACGAAGAGTTGACTTTCCACCTTTCCTTACTTGCTTGGTACAAAACAGTCTTCTCTGTTTCCTGGGGCACTGTCAAGAAGCACATGCCCACCCTGGCATTGTATGATGTACTAAACTGCTCTGGACTGGGGGTGGTGGGGACAAGGGACAGAGGAGGGGTTGAGGGAACCAGAGGCAGGCAGGAGGGGTGGGCAGGGGCCACATAGGCAGGGCTGGGCATTAAGGAATAATCCAACAAACATCTGGATGCCCAGGGCCCAGCTTTGAGCCAGAATATCACCAGGAACGAGTACCGTTCCGGGGCCCCTGCACCCCTCCCTTCTTCTCCTCATAGTTAACCACTCTGGTGATTTGGTGCTTTTCTTAACGTTTCAGTACATATAGATGTATGCCTGAGTAATGGACGGTTGCCTTTGACATGTCTTGATTTTTATGTGATGGGATCTTGTCTAGAGCATTTTCTGTCACGTTGCCACATTGCTTTTTGCTGAGTATGTTTGTGAGATGTTTGCATGTTGATATGCAGAGCTATATTCTGTTCATTTCCCTGGCTGGGGTAGCTGTCATTGCTTGACTATACAATCATTTATTTCTACAGTTTTTGACTATCTGGGTTGTTTGCAGCCTTTCAGAGCTAGCTGGCTGTTCTCCTGGAGTGGAACTGCAGGGATGCAGCCTGGGCCTACCTCCCACTTTGTTAGATGGTACAAGGCAGATTCTGACTTACCCAGAACTTTCCAATAGTAGGAATTTCCTATGATGGGATAGGCTGTCCTGAGGGGTAGTGTGGTCCCATTCACAGGGGTGAGGGGTGTGTGTTGAGGAGTCCGAGGCTCATACCCCAACTTCCCCAAGCTGCAAGGAATTGCTGGGAATTCCTGCAAGGAAAGAGCTGAGGCCTTGGGGGTTTTTGGACATTGGTTTGAATCTCAGCTTTACTACTTTCTAGCCATGTGACCTTGAGCAAATAATTACCCTCTGAATTTCCCGTTTTCTCTTTATTTTTTTTTTTAATTTATTTATTTACTCATGAAAGACACACAGAGAGAGGCGGAGACACAGGCCGAGGGAGAAGCAGGCTCCACGCAGGGAGCCCGATGTGGAACTCGATCCCAGGACCCCAGGATCACAACCTGAGCCGAAGGCAGAAGCTCAACCACTGAGCCACCCAGGCGCCCCCGTTTCCTCTTTAAAGGGGGAATGTGCTTGTGGCAGTTTCAGAGGGAACCACGGGGCCTGGGAAGGCAGGTATTTTGAGAAAAAGGAGAGAGGCAAGGCTCAACTTCACAGAGTTGAAGTGAGAGTAGGAAAGGCCAGCCAATCTGGGCTGGGGAGGAGAGAATGTGGCAGCCTCCCCAAGAAGGAAGACAGCCACGTGGTGGACAACACCCTCTGAGGACCTTTTTGGAAACGCTAGAATCTGGGTCCCCCAATCCCATGCGCAGAACCTGGGCCAGTGAAATACTTCTACTGCCATGGTGACTGTGATCCACCATTCAGGCCCTCCCTTCCCCCACCCAGACCCCACCACAGGCCACATCCTGCTGCAGGAGCAGCCTCTGCCCACACCCTCAGCCCCTGCAGTCATGGAGTCGGACTGCCAACCCCTCACATTCTCTTGACATCATGATATATCCCCTGGGCTGCAGGTCCCTTGGGTGAGCCTGGCAAAGGGCATTCAGAGCTTTGTGTCTGGATTTGAGGGTGTGACGTCATAGCCTCCTCCACTTCTTTGAGTGCTTACTGCACAGCAGGAGGCCCTGAGGGCAGCTGGCACCCCCGCTGCCTCACTGATTCCTTACGAGACAAACACTGGGAGCACGCTCATTTTCCAGATGAGGAAACAAGGCACTGAGTGATCAGGTGACTTCCCCAAGATCGCAGAACTGGTAGTTGGCAGAACTCGAGTTTAACCCAGACCAGTGGCTCTAATGCCTCATCTCTGGGGCAGGAGCTAACTTAGTCTGGGGGTGGGCAAGGGAAGGCACCCTGGGGAAGTAATATTTGAGCTAATGCCAGGGTAAGCATCAGGCCAAGAGCATGGGGAACCCTGTGTGCACAGCGGGAGTGAAGTTGGGAGTGAAGAGGGAGAGACAGATGGTTAGGGTCCTTGTAGCTGACTTCAGGGAGCAAGGTGAGGATGGGAAAGCAGGCAACAGGATAGGATGTGACAGGAGAGGTAGACAAGCTTTGGCTCCTGAGGCCCCTGGAATTCATGGCGGGGTAGTTCCAAACACAAACTCCAGTGTCAGGCAAAAAAGGTTTTAACCCTGGGGTTGTCTGGCTGGCTCAGTCAGTAGAGCATGTGACTCTTGATCTTGGGGTTGTGCATAGTTCATGCCCCATGTTGGGCATAGAGCTTACTTTTAAAAAGGGGGCAGGGGCGCCAGGGTGGCTCACTTGGTTAAGTGTCAGCCTTTGGCTCAGATCATGATCCCAGGGTCCTGGAATCGACACTCACTGCACCAGGAGCTTCTTCCTCTCCCTCTGCCCTTCCTCCCTGCTTGTGCTCTAGTGCTCTCTTGCTCTCTATCAAATACATAAATACATGGGATCCCTGGGTGGCTCAGCAGTTTAGCACCTGCCTTCGGCCCAGGGCATGATCCTGGAGTCCTGGGATCGGGTCCCACGTCGGGCTCCCTGCATGGAGCCTGCTCCTCCCTCTGCCTGTGTCTCTGCCTCTCTCTGTGTCTCTCATGAATAAATAAATAAAACCTTTAAAAATATACATAAATACAATTAAAAATTTTTTTAAAGAGAGAGCACAAGCAGGGGGAGAGGCAGGCAGAGGGAGAGGGAGAGAGAGAATCTTATTTTTCTTTTTTAAGATTTTATTTATTTGAGAGACAGAGATAGCAAGAGAGAGCACAAGTGGGGAGGAGGGGTATAAGGAGAGGGAAAAGCAGGCTCCCCCCTGAGCAGGGAACCTGATGTGGAGCTCAATGAGGGGCTCAATCCCAGGACTCTGGGATTATGACCTGAGCTGAAGCCAGATGCTTAATGACTGAGCCACCCAGGTACCCCGGAAGAGAGAATCTTAAACAGGCTCCCTGGCCAGTGTGAAGCCAGACATGGGGCTCTATCTCATGACCCTGAGATCATGACCTGAGCCGAAGTCATTAGGTAGATGCTTAATGACTGAGCCACCCAGGTGCCCCTCCAAAAAAGATTTTAACCCCAGCTCCACCTCTACCAGCTGAGTAGTCCCTGGGCCTGGTGGGCAAGGTCTATTCGCAGGGCTCTGGGAGTGATGGGCTGGGCTACGTTAGGTACTTCTGGGTCCTCCAGGTAGAGCAGGAGCATCCAGTTGGCTGGGGAAATGCCAGGTGGGGCATGGGCTGGTGGTTGCCTGTGACTGGGAAGCCAGATAGCTATGGGGAGCTGTGTGCACGCATGTCCGGGGATGAGGCAGTAGCCTTATAGACCCAACTCAGACGGGTCCTTGAGGAGCCAACTCTGTGACTTGGGCCCTTTTGGAGTTAGGATGGGGGTGGGGCTGCCTCAAAGCCACCATTGTCTCCCCCTCTCCCCCTGACTGTCTAGGGCCTAAAATAGAGCAAGAGTACAGTAGATCTCCTGAGAAGAGTCTGGCAAGGAGGTCTGGGGGGAGGGGTAATGAGTAACAGCTGGGAACCCTTAAGTTTGAAGGTTCCAAAGCCTAGCTGCCCCCCTCCTGTCCCCAGGGAGCCTGGAATTTGCTGGACAGTGGCAGGGAGGGTGTCTCTGTTCCACCTCTGTCTGGTTGTGGGGAGGGGACTGGGTCTCAGGTCTAGCTCTGCCATAGAGGTGCTGGATGACTGGGCCAAATCTGCCCCCACAGGGCCTCAGTTTCCCAGATGTATCAGGAGTTAGGGACCTTAGCATCTGCTTGAGGCCTTTTAGTCAGACAGACATGGGCTAAGTCCCAGTTCCTTTTCTATTGCCTGAGTGACCTTGGGCAAGTCCCCCTATCTTGTGGGGTTTCTGTTTCCTCCTCTATAAAATAAACACTGAAACCAAGTCCTGGGGCAGCCCCGGTGGCACAGCGGTTTAGCGCCGCCTGCAGCCCAGGGCGTGATCCTGGAGACCCGGGATCGAGTCCCACGTCGGGCTCCCTGCATGGAGCCTGCTTCTCCCTCTGCCTGTGTCTCTGCCCCTCTCTCTCTCTCTCTCTCTCTCTCTCTCTCTCTCTCTGTGTCTTCATGAATAAATAAATAAAATTCTTAAAAAACAAAACAACAAGTCCTGTCCTTGTTTGGTTTCAGTTTCAATTATCCAACAAGGAACTTGGCAGTCCCTGGGCCTCCTCCCACCACCTCCACATTCTCCGATGCCACCTTTTGTCCTGCCGGGGTGTTACCAATAGTGACCCCACTTTCGAATGCCCTGTGCTTTACACACACTACCTCTGGCTCCCCTACATCCCGGAGGACAGAGCTGGGTCATCCGTTCCAGCGCTCTCATGGCCTTGCTCCTGGCTCAAGCCCGGGTTCCGGGGAGCGGGGAAGGACCACCCCACCGTGCGCAGAGGCAAACCGACTTCTCCCAAAGGGGTCTGGAAGCCCTCTGAGAACCGCTCGCCCCCTTGCGCAGGTTGCGGCAGGCGCGGTGCGCGCGGCTGGCCTGCCCTCTAGCGGCCGCCGCGGGCGGCGTCGTCGGGCCGCGCGGTGGGAACCGCCCGAGGCCGGCTCGCAGCAGCCCGGCGGGAACCTCCTCCTGGACGTCGCGGGTTCTGCCCGCCGCGGCCCCGGCGCCCGGGGGCTGAGAACCGTCCCTCCCAACCTGTCTCTCCTCGTGGCTTCCCAGAGATCCCAGGGCGGCTGCGCGCCCCGCCCCGATTGCCATGGAGACCGCCTGTACCCACCTCTTCCCCCGCGTGTACCCTGTCCCGAGTCGGGGGCCGGCGGGCGGCACGAGCGCCCGCCCAGGAGGGAGCCGGCCGCCCGGCGGTCTGGGGCCCATGAACAGCGGGGCTCGGGGACGCTGGCCGCGGGGAGAGTGAAATTCTTGGGCCGGCATCGCGGGGCGGTGAGGTCCCGTCGGGCTCTGCCGACTCCAGGCTCCTGGCTTTGGGACCAGCGTGATTCCTGATTCTGCCTGTTCTCTGGCGCCCAGCGCCAGAACAGGCCACGGGGTCTGAGCCCTGGTTCCAGAGAGGATCAGACTCCTGGCTGACCCCAGTGTTCGTGTGACCTTGGCTTTAGAGTGAACTCGGGGATGAGAGTAGATCTTGAACTGCTAGTTCTGGGTTCCAGCTCTAGAATGGTCTCTTGGCTCTGGGGTGCCAGGCTCTGTTTCTAAATGTTAGTCTTTTTTTTTTTTTTTTTTTAAATTTATGATAGTCACAGAGAGAGAGACAGAGAGACAGAGAGAGAGAGAGAGGCAGAGACACAGGCAGAGGGAGAAGCAGGCTCCATGCACCGGGAGCCCGACGTGGGATTCGATCCCGGGTCTCCAGGATCGCGCCCTGGGCCAAAGGCAGGCGCCAAACCACTGCGCCACCCAGGGATCACCCAGGCTCTGTTTCTAGAGAAGGCTCCAGCCCCCACCTTCAGAGGGTTCTCACCTTCGGGCTCAGGTTTTACAGGATTCCACAGAGGACTCCAAGTTCTTGCCTCTGACTAAGAGTGGTTCCTTCATTCTGGGCTCTGGTTTTATGATGAGGCCTGAAAGTTCAAGCTCCAACCCAGCTTCCCAGGGCAGTGTTTAGGGCTGGTCCTACAGTCGGGTCAGAGAGAGCACACAAGTGTTTCCCGCCCCGGGATGGAACTACTTTTGTGTTCCCCTTCCAGGTCAACTCCTCTGCCTTCTCTCCAGATGGCCAGAGGCTGCTCACGGCCTCTGAACATGGCAGTGTGTATGGCTGGGAGACCCAGAGCTGGCGGCTGCTGTGGAGGCTAAGTGGCCACACAGGTGGGGTTCCTTGGGCTGGATGTGGAGACAGAGGCCCATGGTTCTATCTGGCACTCTGCAGAGCCTATCACAGTGACCTCTGACATCTGAGCTGGGCATTTGAGCAAGACAAGCCTGGCCAGGGCTGAGCAGGAGGGCAAAGACACAGGACCTGGTTCCTGGGGCCTTTGACTCAGACAGACTCAGATCCTACTATTTTTTTATTTTTTTTATTTTTTAAAAGATTTTATTCATTCATTCATGAGAGACACACACAGAGAGAGGCAGAGACACAGGCAAAGGGAGAAGCCGGTTCCATGCAGGGAGCCCGATGTGGGACTTGATCCCGGGGCCCCAGGATCACGCCCCCGGCTGAAGGCAGGCACTAAACCACTGAGCCACCCAGGGATCCCCTATTTTTTCATTTTTTAAAGGAATCTCTGCACCCAACATGGGGCTCAAACTCATGACCCTGAGATCCAGAGTCGCATGCTCTACTGATTGAGCCAGCAAGGTGCCCCAATCCTACTACTGTTTTAAAAATTGTTTAAAAATACACATATTTGGTCAGCCCCAGTGGCACAGCGGTTTAGCGCCGCCTGCAGCCCGGGTTGTGATCCTGGAGACCCAGGATCGAGTCCCACATCGGGCTTCCTGCATGGAGCCTGCTTCTCCCTCTGCCTGTGTCTCTGCCTCTCTCTCACTCTCTCTGAATGAATAAATAAATATTTAAAAAAATACACATATTTACCGTCTTAACCATTTTTAAATGTACACAGTTCAGTAAAGTATGTTCATTATGCAACTAGTCTCTGAACTCTTCATCTTGCTAAATGGAAACTCTATACCCATTAGACTCCCCATTCCTTCTGTCCCCCACCCCCTGGCAACCACAATTCTTTATATCAATGAATTTACTGTAAGTACCTTGTGTAAGTGGAATCATACAGTATTCCTTTTTGTGCTTTTTGTGACCTATTTCACAAGAAAAAAATCTGGTAATTACAAGGCAGATTGACTAATGCTATTCATACGGGAAGTGTAGGGCTGGGGAGGCTCAAAGGAGGCAATGAACCCAGGATGGGCTCTCGGAGTTTCTGGGATGCGCCTGCATTCGCTTTCGGTGTTGATTCTACAAATGGGCAAATTAGGGTTGAATCACGGAAGCTCAGCTTGCCAGGTGGCTGAAGGGTGAGAGGGTTATAAAGGAGTGAGGTGGAGAGGCAGGTGGGAAGGCTGGAGAAATTAGCAGGGGTCTGCCAGCAAGGGCTGGAAGGGGAGGGCAGCACCCTCGTCCATGACCACGGCTGCTTACCCAGGTCCTGTAAAATTCTGTCGCTTCTCCCGATGGCTGCCTTTTTGCCACCACCTCCTGTGATTGTACCATCCGCCTGTGGGATATAGCAGAAGCTAAGTGTCTGCATCTCTTAAAGGGTAACCTGGATGGGACTGGAGCCAAGCAGCCAGGCTTGGGTTCCCTTCTAGACCTTGCTGTGTCCTGTTCCACCTTGCCCCCTCTCCGACCTGGTATCTGCAAGTCACCAGCGGAGTGTGGGGATGGTCAGCTTCAGCCCTGACTCAAAGCAGCTGGCATCAGGTGGCTGGGACAAGTGGGTGATGCTCTGGGAGGTGCAGGTTCATGGAAGGGCGGCCAGAGCAGAACCTGGGGTCGGGAGGGTACACCCTCCACCCTCAACAGTGGCCCCAGAAAGGTCGGTTCATCTTTCCCACTGCCCATGCCCACGTCTGGCAATCCATCTGCCCGTGAGGTTCACACTAGTATTGTCCTCCTCTCAAGGTCCAGGTAGTCTCCCCAGACCCAGGGTTGTCGTATTACCCAGGCAGCCCACAAGGAGGGCTTAGGCTGACCCGTCTGGGCCTAGAACCTGGCACTACAAGACCTCTGGACTGCCCTCCAAAGCTCAGGGCTCTCTCCTGCAGTCCGGCCAGATGCTGCACCACTTAGGAGGGCACCGAGACTCAGTCCAGAGCAGTGACTTTGCACCCAGCTCAGACTCTGGTGAGCCACACCGCCACTGTTCAGCCCTACCTCAAGGAACCTGGAGCCCACATCCATTTTCCCACTTGGGGCTGAGCCATGGTTGGAATTCCAGACCTTGAATGGGTGACTCTGTTATTCTGAGCCTGTCCCCTCATCTGTAAGATGGGGAATTCAGCAGGGTTCAGAATGCCTGCTTTCTCAGTCTGGCCAGCCTAGGAACCACAAAGGTGGGCACAGACAGGCTGGTTCATGCTCATGGCAGATGTCTACAGGCCATTGGCTCCTGGGACTCCACTATCAGCATCTGGGACCTGCGGATGGCGACACCAGTGATCTTCCACCAAGAGCTGGAAGGCCACAGTGGCAACATCAGCTGCCTGTGCCACTCAGCATCTGGCCTCCTGGTGAGCTGGGCTGCCCTGGGTTCCAGGCTGGCCCCCTGCTGGCTCCAAACCCATGGCCTTAAAGCTGTCTGCTGTTCAGGCTTCTGGCTCCTGGGATAAGACTACCAAAAGCCTGCTTGTTCAGCTCAAAGGCCAGGTTACCTGGGTGAAGAGCATAGCTTTCTCCCCTGATGGGTCACAGCTGGCCAGCGCTGGCTACTCCCATATGGTAAGCCCACTCTACCAGGCCCATCCTCCTGGCAATCTCCTATCCCAACATCTTCCTTTACCAGAGCCTTCAGCAGTCTAGAAATATCCACATCCTATTTGCCCTAAATAGGAAGGTGCCAAGGGCAGAACCCAGGTGCCAACCACTTCTGAACCTAGCACCTGGCACTAAGGTCTATGCTGGTCCAAATGCTAGTGGCATGGACATTAAAGAAAAAAAAAAAATTTTTGGGATGCCTGGGTGGCTCAGCGGTTTAGTGCCTACCTTCGGCCCGGGGTGTGATCTGAGTCCCTGGATCGAGTCCCGCATCGGGCTCCCTGCATGGAGCCTGCTTCTCCCTCAGCTCTGTGTCTCTCATGAATAAATAAAATCCTTAAAAAAAATATTTAAGATTTTGAGAGCACGAGCCAGGAGGAGAGGAAGAAGCAGATTCCCTGCTAGCAGGGAGCCTGGTGTGGGGCTCAATCCCAGGACCCTGGGATCATGACCTGGGCCAAAGGGAGACACAACACACTGAGCCACCCAGGCACCTACTCACATTTTTTGGAGAAAGTGTGTGCAAGCAGAGAGGGGATTAATCTCAAACCGACTCCCCCCCACTGAACACAGAGTCCCATGCAGGGCTCAAACTCACGATGGGAGCTAAAACCAAGAGTGACACCTAACTGCACCATCCTGGTGCCCCTGGCATTGGCATTTCTAAGAATCATCACGGCTTCAGGGATAAGGAAATTGCACTGCATGTAATTTTTGCATCAGATTTTATGCTGGGTATGTCAAATATACCTTGCAGACAACAAAACCCAAACCAAGACATTGAGGTTGGCTAGGACTCCCCCCAAAAGGATTTCAAGGATGCCAGACTTGTGGGGTGAGGTCTAACCAACCCTTCTTGTTTTTATTTCCAGGTCAAAGTCTGGGACTGCAACACAGGAAAATGCATTGAGACGCTGAAGGTAAGGCCTGTGGGCATAGCACCCAAGGATGTATTAAAAGGCCTGTCAGGGAAGGGTGGGGGCAAGGCAGGACTTACACCCCAGAGCCCAGTGAAATGCTTTTGGCAGGGAGTCTTGGATGTGGCCCATGCCTGCGCCTTCACCCCAGATGGGAAACTCTTGGTGTCTGTGGAGTTGCTGATCAGGCAAGATACCAAGTCCACCGCATGATCAAATCCCCCAGCGCCTCTGAGATCTACCACCACCGCAACGGGCTCTCGGGTCTCAAGCCGGTCTCTCCCTGCCAGGGCACATGCGACCTGGCAGAATAAAGTCCCGCAGGGACAGTGAGGGCAGCTCCACATCACAGGTCCGAAGCAACCACACCTGAGCACCCAGCAGATCCCCGTGGCCAGGTGGTCTGCAGCTGCAGGCGGTCTGCTGACACCCACCACGACCCTGGTAACTACAACCAGGGTAGAGCAGCTGACCTCCCCAGCATGGTTAGTTGAAACACCCGCAAACAGAAAGCAGTGCCAGCCAGGTGGTTTGTGTTTTATTAACGCCAGCGCTCAGGCTTTGACCGCATACTTCCGCAGAGGGTACAGCCGCTCCTTCCGCTGCTGCTTCTTGGTCTTCAGATTTTCCTCATGCTTGTTTAGCCGGCGGCGCATGGCACGTGTCTTCTTGGGCCGCAGATCCAGGGGCTTGTACTTCTTACCCTGGGTGATGGATGGAAGAGCAGGGGGAGTCTGAGCACCAGGGTTTAGGTGGCAGCTAAGGAAGCCCCTGAGGCTGGAACTAAGCTGCTGGGGGGCATGGGGAAGATACTGGAAGTGACTGAAGGAGGCCACTGGGGTGCGGAGGCTTTAATCTGCAGACCCGAGTGTGAGGAGATGTAGCACACTCAGCCCAGTAGGGAGGCCCTGTGCTGGCTGCTGACCTAGTGATGCACCAGACCTGGTACCTGCTCAAGGAAGCTCCCAGCCCAGTGGGAAAGGGGAGGAGAAAGGATATTTAAAAGGTTTCACCTAGGGAATCCCTGGGTGGCTCAGCGGTTTAGCGCCTGCCTTTGGCCCAGAGCGTGATCCTGGAGTCCCGGGATCAAGTCCCGCATCAGGCTCCTTGCATGGAGCCTGCTTCTCCCTCTGCCTGTGTCTCTGCCTCTCTCTCTCTGTGTCTTTCATGAATAAATAAATAAATAAAATCTTTAAAAAAAAAAAAAAAAAAAAAGGTTTCACCTAATGACTGGCAACAGCCTAGAAAGCAAACAACCTGAGCGACCAAGAGAGGGGGAGTGGGGAGAAAACAGCATGCACAAAAGTCCTGAAAGATGGCAGCTCAGGTGCGTTCTGGAGAAATGCCAATAGCTCCGTGGGGGGGGGGGGGGCACAGGGCAGGGGTGGGGGAGATAAGGGAGGTAACAGCCTCAGGGGAGAAAATTACAAACTGCAGATGAGGGTGAACTCTTAAGATGTGGGTTTGGAAACATGAGTCTCTGTCCACCGCATCCCTGTTGTCCGCAGCACAGGTCAGGGCCTCATCTTTTCAAGTTTACTAAGCCCTCAGAGCTCTGCTGTCCAACAGACGAGGAACTGGCCACACATGCTGCCTACATTAAAAATCCAGGCCTTCAACCACCATAGCCATACGTGGCCAGAGGTTACTGTACAGAACAGCACAGACAGGGAGCTATCACCACGAAGTCTATTGCACAGTGCAAACACAGAGCAGAGGCCTCACTTTTACAGCCCCAAGTGGTGCCTGGTAGGGGGTACACTCAGTGGAAGACAATTCTTCCAGACTAGCACTCTACATGGTCCTAGACCCTGATCAAAGATTTTCAAACCCAATTTTCAGAAAAAGGTTCCCACACATAAATGTACACAAACCCAGGGGTGGCAGCAGCACCCCCTCCCAACAATACACACTAGTGTCCCCCCAGGCAGCTAGCCCAGGCACACCATGATGGCTTTGACATGTCAAAGCCTCCAGCTCTTCAAATACCAACTTGGGGCAGCCCTGGTGGCGCAGCGGTTTAGTGCTGCCTGCAGCCCGGGGCATGATCCTGGAGACCCAGGATCGAGTCCCACATCGGGCTCCCTGCATGGAGCCTGCTTCTCCCTCTGCCTGTGTCTCTGCCTTTCTCTCTCTGAATAAATAAATAAAACTTAAAAAAAAAAAAAACAAAAACAAAAACCCAGCAACTTGGATGTTGATGTGAAGCCATTTTGCAGATGTACTCAAAGCCCCTAATCAATTGAGATTAAGCAAGACTATACCGGGTAATTTGAGGCTTGATTCAGTCAGCTTAAAGGTCTTTAATGCAGGGCAGAGGCTCTCCCCAAGAAATCCCACCTGAGAACAGCAACTTCAAGCTGTGCCATGTGGGTTCCAGCCTGCACGTGATGTTCTCTGAGGCCTGATTTTGGATTTGCTTATTTTATTAGCTAGCCACCCCCCACACCAGTCACATAGGCGACTTCTTTGTAATGAATCAAATGCACGTATACACACATATAAAGTCTCCTAGTGGTTCTGCTTCACTGCTTAAGCCCTGGTAACACCAATATTAAGGACAAGACCCCGCACCTAAGCTGAGGGGCCAGACACCTATGGAAGTCTCCCAGGAGCACTCAATCCACCCCCTCTCCAAGATATGGTTTGGAATGCAGACTCAATCACTCCATTACCTGTGGGTGACTCTGGGCAACATAACCTCTCTACACCCAGAAAAATGAGAATATGAGGTGCTTGAAAGTGACAGACACAGTGCTAATAAGAAAACTAAAACACTGGAAGTTAATCCTCACAGACTGCCCAAACTCACTCAGCTAGTGAAACTGGATTCAAAACCCAAGGCTCCAGCCAGACTCTCCCCACACTGTTGATTTCCTGAGAAAGTGCAGTCTGCAGGACTTGCTAGTGGCAAGATGCTGCTTAAGAAGCAAACCCATTTAAAAAATAAAAAATAAAATAAAGAAGTAAACCCATTAAAAATAAAAAAAAGCAAACCCATTTATAAGCTGGGAAGGCTCTGGAAAGCCCAGACCCACGTACCCTAGAAGATCTCCATACTACCCTTCTGGCCAAAGGAGGGCTGGAACTTTGCACCCTGCAGCTAAGCATCCCTCCAACTCCCCCAGTCCAGACATACCTTGTAGAATTTCCTGAGGTTCTCTTTCTGTGTCTGGTTGATGACAGTGAGAACACGGGCGATGGATTTGCGAACAACTCGGCTACAAAACAGACACATTGTGAAGGTGGTGGAGACATACAAAGCCACCCTCCCCCAAGTCATCTTATTCGGAACCTGACCCAGACGTCATAAGACAGGGGTATTCCTCTCCAGCTCATCCGTATTCACCCAAGAGTTGCCTAACCCAGTCCAAGAGGAAGGTGTTCTGGGGGTAAGGCCCGAAGATTCTAAGAGATGGATACCCCACGAGTGGGGATGGGAAAGGGCTGAGAAGCTGTATAGTATTCATATTGAACAGAAGTGGAGGGCAGATCAGGAAAGATCTTCCACCCCATGCTATATATCCTGAGCTATAAGGACCTAACCAATGCCAGCATGAATAAGCTGACTGCGGGAAATCATGCCACAAGCTGATTAAGCTTAACCTGAGGCCCTGCCACCCCTGGGTTTGTGTACATTTATGTGTGGGAACCTTTTTCTGAAAATTCGGTTTGAAAATCTTTGATCAGGGTCTAGGACCATGCAGAGTGCTAGTCTGGAAGAATTGTCTTCCACTGAGTGTACCCCCTACCAGGCACCACTTGGGGCGGTAAAAGTGAGGCCTCTGCTCTGTGTTTGTGCTGTGCAATAGACTTCGTGGTGATAGAGAGCTCCCTGTCTGTGCTGTTCTGTACAGTAACCTCTGGCCACGTATGGCTATGGTGGTTGAAGGCCTGGATTTTTAATGTAGGCAGCATGTGTGGCCAGTTCCTCGTCTGTTGGACAGGAGGGCCACTTGGGGAGAGAGAAACAAGATATTTGAGAAGTAGAAAGGCATTGGGGCGGGGATCCCTGGGTGGCTCAGCGGTTTAGCGCCCCCTTCGGCCCAGGGGCGTGATCCTGGAGATCCAGGATCAAGTCCCACGTCGGGCTCCCTGGAGTGGAGCCTGCTTCTCCCTCTGCCTGTGTCTCTGCCTCTCTCTCTATCATGAAAGAAAAGAAAGAAAGAAAAGAAAGAATAAAAGAAAAGAAAGAAAGAAAAGAAAGAAGAAAGAAAAGAAAAGAAAGAAAAGAAAAGAAAAGAAAGGCATTGGGGGTTGGATGACCATAGGAACAGGCTGGGAAGAAGCGATTTGTAGTCATTGAATGGGTAGCATGGTGGGGATGAGGGAGGGCCTGAGGGAGGGCCACTGAGTAGACAGCTGGTAAACCTACTCTTGAAGCTTCAACTTGTGTGTTCTCCAACTCATCCAACCCCCTCCCAGCACCACGGGTCAGTTGTTGGGGGCCCATTTTGTAAAAGAGGAAAAAACTCCACAACTGCTCTCAGTGTTGAGCCAGCCCACCCATCAGGTAGGATGTGGCAAAAGTGGACACATTTTTGTGTCGAACGTGCTCAGTTCGACGGACTCCAAACCCATGTCCCTTTCACAAGTCCTGATTCTTGATCCACGTAAATAAATAAATTAACTACAACTCAAGTGAGGCGTGGGCACAAAGGCACCCATCTACCAAGTGAGGGAAGTTGAGGGGGAAAAAAAAAATCAAGTGTTGGGGGTGGGGGGGAGCGGGGGGAAGAGTCCAGTTAGTTTTCAAGTTAGCGTGAAAAAGGGTCTTCAGGGACGAGCAGTTCTTTCTCCAGTCAGAGAGAAGCTAAGCAAGCGCACCCCGGGCAAAAGGACAAAATGGTCCAAGGCAAGTAAGAGGCAAATCACACAGCGGGTATCCCATGCGGCTGGATGCGAGCAGGGGAGCCTGGAGAGGGTGGCTGGGGAGGGCATGACATTCCCACCCTCGGCCCGATAAATTGGCACTTAATCGAACGCTTCCTTTACCCAACTTCGGAAATGCACACATACTTTCGGTGCACAGGTGTCCCCCATACCCAAAGAAGCGGAGTTCGTACGCCCCTCACTCACATCTTAGAGAGCTTGGAGGCCGCGCCGCCTGTCACTTTGGCGACGCGCAGCTGGGACAGCTCCACCTTCAGGTCTTCCAGCTGTTTAAGCAGCTCTTCCTTCTTCTTGCCGCGAAGATCTCGAGCCTTAATCTTAGCCTGAGCGCAAGTACAGGTGTGAGTCAAACATTGGACAGGCCGCCTCCCCGGGCAGCGGCCATCCTCCCCTCCGCCTGCGTCGTGCCCAGTCCCAGAAAATGGCGCACTGGGGACCCCTCATCACTGCCCTAGGCCGTGCGTTGGGCAGGGTAACCGAGGCCCGGCGGGCCTGCCCTCGCCCAGGCGGTCGGCCACAACGCTGGGCCGCTACCCCATTCCGCAGACGGGAAGGCGGGAGGCGCCGGCAGCGCGGCCTCACCTCTCCCGGCCCCGGGCAGAGAGCCGGTGACCCGACCCGCCGTGTCGACGCAAGGCCACTCCACACGGCTCCTTACAGCCCTGGCTGGCGGATGGAACCCCGGTGCTCACCTCGAGCTCCCCACCCCAGGCCCCGAGCCCCCCAGCCGGCGGATGGCACCCGATTCCACCGTCCTCACCATGTCGGCACAATCCGCAGCTACCACCGCCGGAAAGAGGCCGAGAGAAAGAGGAAGGGGGCGGGGCTGACCTCCAAACTACCGCCGGGTGGTGGCGGGCGCGGCCAATGGCTCCGCGGCGTCGGAGCCCTAGCCCCGCCCCTGACACCCGCCGGGAGTACCTTGGTACCTAGCCCCGCCCTGAGGAGCCGGAGCCGCGCACCTGCCATAGCTCGGGTCGGCTTCACCTCCTGAGCAGAGCACTTGGGGAAACCGAGGCCCGGGGTGACCGGCAGCTTCCCGGAGATGGCACAGTGAGGACTCGAATTCGTCCATTCAGTCATTTACTCGTTCGTTCATTCATTCGGTAGACCCGTGCAGGATGCTCAGTCGACTGTTCTGAGCTGGGCGCCACTAGGCGCTAGTGGTGGAGCGCATGAGGGTTGAGGATTTTCAGAGATAACCCACAAGGCTTCTGCTATGGAGTTATTTAAAATACGAAGTGGGCAGGAAGAGGCGGGATCAGACAGCTACACTCCCAACTCCATAAACGTTCTAGTGGAGGCAGCATGTGGGAGGGGAAAGAGCTTTCAGGGCCTTTTTTTAGTGAACCCGTCCCGGTTTCAAATTCTTGCTCCGCTGCCTCGTGCTCGCTGAGACATCTTGGCAGATCCCTTCCCCTCTCTGAGTCTCAGTTTTCTCACTTGTGAAATGGGTATTTTTGAGGATTAGGAACATGGAAAACTCTTAGCAGAAGAGCTAATGTGTAACAGTCAAAATTTCATTGGTATTAATGTTCCCGGTGGAATGAACACTTGATTTGGGCCCTAAAAGTTAACGAAGAATTCACAAAGCAGGGAAGGTGTTCAGGCTTTCCAAGATTAAAGAAGATGCACCAATACCTCTTGGAGTAATAGTTAAAGGCTAGTTGCCCCCTTGTTGCTGTCAGGTTCAAGGGTGCCTTCTTCCATTTCTTTATGGAGTTCTATCAATGGGCCTTAGCTTTGGACTAAACTGGGATACTACCTCCCTTTTGTCCCAAGCTGTTTTTGTTTTGTTGTCATTTATTTATTTATTTTTGATAATCTCTACATCCATCATGGGGCTCACAACCCTGAGGATCAAGAGTAGTGTCCTGACTGAGCCAGTCAAATCCCCCATATCCCAAGCTTTCTGTGCAATCCTCTCTTTAGCTCCAAATATGCTGAAGTAAAACGTTTTTGTGTCTGTCTTTGCAACCAGCCTGGAAGTTCGCTGGTAGAACCATGGCTGACACCTGGCTTGGTTTATCTAGTCTCTAGGCCCAACACATGGATGCTTGTTGACTGAATGAATTAATGAGCATTACTGCAGACCATGGTGAGGCAGGCTTCCAAGAAGTGAATGCGTGTGGGGAAGAGAGGACAGAGGACTATTTTGGCATGGGTTAGTCTTAAAAGGAAGTTGAATAGTGCACAGGTACTTTGCTGTCATATTTTCCAAATGTTTAAAGTTCTTTAGGGCTAATGGTTGTGTACATCTTTCTGAAATTTGAAGTTATCTGTGACTCTTGTTTCTTACATGTCACATGCAACACACCAGCAAATTCTGCAGCCTCTACTTTCAGAATAACCCAACATCTTCCCACCATTCCTATTGGCACCTCCTAGCCTGAGCTACCATTGCCTGTCACCTAGGCTGTTGGTGACACCAGGCTTTCCTGGTGTCACCAACCAGGAAATAAAAGGCTATCACCTTTTATTTTTTAAAAATTTTATTTATTCATGAGAGACACAGAGAGGCGAAGACATAGTCAGAGGGAGAAGCAGGCTCACTACAGCGAGCCCGATGTGGGATTTGATCCCAGGACCCCGGGATCATGACCTGAGCCAAAGGAAGATGCTTAACCACTGAGCCACCCAGGTGCTCTGGTGTCACCTTTTACATCACCTTTTAATTCTTATTCCCATCTGTTCTCAAGATGGATGTTAGATGGATCCTTTTCAAACTTAAGTCAGCTCAGGTCACTGCCCAGAATTTCCAGTGTTGTCCCACGAGATAGACTACATCCTTTCCTCAACCTACAAAACCTCCACCACCCCTCCACCCCTCCACCCCTCACTTCCATCTCATCTCTTCTCACTCTTGTACTTTAGTATGGCCTGTTTCTGGAATATACCAAGCCTGCTCTGTCTCTGGGCCTTTGCTTGGCTTCTTCCTTCACTTCTTCAGGTCCTTGATCAGTGTCACCTCCTCAGGGACATCTCTTGACCGCTTTATCTAAGGTACTGCCAGGCACTGCATGGTTTTATACCCTCAGCATGCGGTCATCCCTGACAGTATAGACTTTTAAAATTCTGCCTTCGTGACCAGGAGATTCACAGTCAAGCAGGGCCATTATTTCATTCACCAGTCTATTCGGGGGCTATATCCTTACTTGTAAAATGGGTTATTTCTGGTTTAAAGTTTCTTCTGACCAGGAAATTCTGATATCTCTGCTGTCTTGTGGCCTGCCTGGGTCACAAAAATTTCCATTTCTTTCAAGGAATGGAGCTGAAGGGCAAGTGGGCTTTGCCTGTTTCCAGGACCCTGAGACTTTTATTCAGCACCTACTTCCCAGCATGAGTATCTTTATTTTTACATTTTTAAAAAATGATTTTATTTATTTATTCATGAGAGGCACAGAGGGAGAGAGAGAGAGAGAGGCAGAGACACAGGCAGAGGGTGGAGCAGGCAAACACAGAGAGAGCTTGACGTGGGGACTCTATCCTGGGTCTCCAGGATCACGCCCTGGGCTGAAGGCGGCGCTAAACCGCTGGACCACCAGGGCTAAGTCTGTATCTTTAGCACCCAAAATTAGGTAGCATCATAATCTGGCAATAATTTTTTGATCTGTAGACACAATTCAATGAGAAGTATTTGCAACAATAAAAGCGAGTCATATTTCATTAAGCCTTGGCCTTTATTAAAGAGTACAATTCAGGGGACCTGGCTGTCTGTACACCATGTGACTCTTGATCTCAGGATTGTAAATTCCAGCCCCATGATGGGGGTAGAGATTACTTAAAATCTTTTAAAAAAGGAAAATTATATGAAAACAAAGATCCAATTTAATCTGAGGTTAAGGCCGATTTTTTAATAAAGATTTTAATTTATTTATTCATGAGAGACCCACAGAGAGTGGCAGAGACATAGGCAGAGGGAGAAGCAGGCTCACAGCAGGGGGCCGATGTGGTGTGGGGCTGGTTCCTGGTACTCCGGGATCAGGCCTTGAGCGGAAGGCAGACGCTCGACCGCTGAGCCACGCAAGCATCCCATGGTTAAGGCCTATTAAGAGAATCCCGCAGGCCACTGCCCAGGCACTCAATCCTGGAACCACAGAGTCGTTCTTGCCCCTACCCTTCGTCACCCAGATCCCGTCTTTTCCCATCTCATACTTAGGTGATTCAGCTTCCCACCAGGATATGCCTCTCCAGCCGGAAATGACTTCTTAGCCTCCAGACCTCGCCCTTTATGTCAGGATGGTGACCTCAGGGTCATCTTTCTCTCCTCACCCCCCACCTGCCAGGTCAGGTGACCATTACACTTGCGGGGGTGCCCGTGCCGCCTCAGTCTGGGCAGTGATGGCTCCACCCCGCTTCCGCGGCCGAGTCCGCGCAGGCCCCTTGCAGGGCCAGGGTCTCCTCGGGTTCAGAAAGGAAGCCGAGCGCAGTTATGGCGTCCACGATGCTAGGCTGGGTGGGGACGTAGTGCCCGCTGCTCAGATGGCAAGAATGAGGTTCCCCGAAGCTGAGAGCCGGACTGAAGGCTACCGGGGTAGTAACTAACAAGGGGATTCTCGGGCGCTTCCAACCCCGCCGCCAGCAGGCTCCGCCCCTCCTGCCCGCCGACACTTCCGGTTCCGGCATAGCGCGGAAGTGGGCGGGCGGCGGCGTCTGCGCGCGGAGGAGCTGGAGGAGGCGCCGGGCGGCCGCTTCCCGCCCCCGATCCTGAGCCGGTTCCGAGCGGAGTAGATCCGAGGTCGGACCCGGAGCGGAGCCGGCTGAGCGGGCGCCGAGTCCCCGCCATGGCCCGGAACACGCTGTCCTCGCGCTTCCGTCGGGTGGACATCGACGAGTTTGACGAGAACAAATTCGTGGACGAACAGGAGGAGGCGGCGGCGGCGGCGGCCGAGCCAGGCCCGGACCCTAGCGAGGTGGATGGCCTTCTGCGGCAATATCCTTACCCAGCGCAGCGGCCCGGGTGTCCCTCAGGCCGGCCTCCCTACCCCCCTACTTCCCGGGCCCCTGAGGTCCGTTTCCCAAGTGCCTTCCGATCCGGCTCCTCTCAGGTTCCCTCAGTGCATGTATCCTCCCTTCCCTCTGACGCGGCCGCTCCAGTCCCCTTGTCCGGGCTCCGGCCTTCGGAGCCTCCTTCAGGAGCGCGGCCCCTAGACCCGGCTGGACCCGCCGGCTCGCCAGCCGCAGAAGCACTCCCGACGCACCTGCAGCCCCGCAGGCCCCTCCACTCCTCCGCGAGGCCTGGCCTCTTTACTCCCCTTCTGTCTCCTCATCCCCTCAGACTGACCGTTCCTTGGGCTCCCCCTCACTCCATCCCTCCCTTGCAGGAAATGGGGCCATTCTCGCGCCAGATGGGCGGGAGGGGCCGAGGGGAGTCCCGCTAAGTAATTGAGCTGCCTTAGACGGCTCCCGGGCACAGTCACCCTACGAAGTTAGGTGGGGGGATGGCTGAGGGGTAGGAAGGACCCAAAGGAGAAGGAGGGCTGCAGGCTTAGTCCAGCCCTAAGGTGAGAGATTGTGCATCTCCCACCCCAGAATCAGTCTGACCCTCCAACTTCATGCCACTCTTTTCCACCTGTTTTGCTTCCTGTGGACACCCTGGGCTGTGGACCCTGATGTCTTAGCCACGTTCAACAAGTGACTTTTGGCTCCTTCCCCGAAATAGCCTTCTTGTGCAGGAAGCAGTGGGGAAAAACTAGTAGTTTAGAGCTGAGAAAAACCAGACAGCATCAAGTGAAATGTAAAAGTAGAGCCTCATGTCTGGAAGTGACTATTCTTGTGGCCACAGAAAGCAAGCATTTAGAAAACAAGATTAAAAATAGAGGT